ATACACACACAACTTCCACTGTTACTATAAAGTATACACACACAACTTCCACTATTACAATAAAATATACACACACAACTTCCACTGTTACTATAAAGTATACACACACAACTTCCACTATTACAATAAAATATACACACACAACTTCCACTGTTACTATAAAATATCCACACACAACTTCCACTGTTACTATAAAATATCCAAACACAACTTCCACTGTTACTATAAAATATCCAAACACAACCTCCACTGTTACTATAAAATATCCACACACAACTTCCACTGTTACTGCTACTACTACTATTAGTGTAAAACTATTAATAATCTTTCATGCAGAACAATAGGAAAAAAAAACACAAAATTACAAATTTGTGAAATGATATTAACAGAAGCAAATAAAATCACACTTGATCACTAAATGAAATTCACTCAAGTGTTGTCTCCATAATTTCTGTCAGACAACAACTTTGATGAAGAAAGTTTGTTTGTTTTGTGCAAAGCTACACGAGGGCTATCTGCATTAGCCTTCTGTAATTTAGCAAAGAAAGACTAGATGGGACGCAGCTAGTTATAACGACCCACTGCCAACTCTTGGGCTACTATTTTACCAATGAATAATGGGATTGACCATCACATTATAATACACCCACGGCTGAAAGGGCGAGCATGTTTGGTGGGATGGGGATTCGAACACATGACCCGCAGATTGCGAGTCGAGCTCCATAACCACCTGGCCATGCCGGGCCGGAGAAGAAAGAACCATAAGGACATCAAATGTAATACATGTAGCTCAAAGTTTAAACATTTCTTCCACTAAATGTTATTAGATTTATATTAAACTTTGTTTCCATTGAGAATAATCCTACATAGAATTTGTTTTTTCCTATACAATAGCATCAAGTCTATTAAAAATCAAATAGTGTATTACACCAACTTAAATATTTTTACTAACTGAAGAAGTCATGAATTATACTAATGTTATGCTCACCCCAATACACATATACAATTTGATTATTTTTTTACTTGTCTGACAGACTTCATTCACATGTGACAGTTTTATCATGTCTTCGTGTAATTACTTTTCTTTTCTGATACATATTTGGATACAGAGCCTTTGACAAAGTTAAACTCAGAGTCTCACAAACCATTATAAAGTTAAATTTGAAGTATCTATCTACTCATATAAAATTGTATAAAAATTACTTTTATATCCTGGAAATAATTTTATAAAATTGACACTACGTTACATAAGAAACAAATATATTTTCTCATATTAGGTAGCAGGGGAACCTAACAAGTATACATCTGAAACAGAATTCTAATATACAATACTGTTCAAAAGTATGAGTGCAGCAATAAAATATTAACAACAAAAGTTTATCTTTACTACAAGTTACAATGGATACATATGTATAAATGAAACAATATAAAAATATCTCAAAAAATATTTTAAAAATTCTTTATTACTGTTAACTTAAAAGAAATAAATAAAATATACATACATAAGAACATAAATACTGGTTTTTGTATATTACAGGATATTCTTCAGTTTCTAAAATAAGGCAATCTCTAACAAATTGTATTTAAATGTAAAACTTTATATGTGCTGATAACTAATAACTTTACTTATTAGATGGACTATCCCATTTCTCTCTTTTTTTCACAGATTACATGCCAAAATAATGACTTTTTCAAATTACCTTGAATTATTAAAATTAAAAAACAAGTATGTATTTATCACAAAAAAAATGATTGGAAATGTGAAAAACATGCAATAATTATTGATCTTCACAAAGAAGGCAAGACTCAGAATTATATTGTGGCAAAACTTAGGATTTCAAGAGTGCCGTACAATAGGCTAGAAAACTTTAAAGCATCTATAAGGAAGGGTTGTCTAAAAGAAGACAAACTTATTAAAAGAACTTTCACTACTGATCACTTCTAAAACTCTCCTGAAATCAATGCCCAAGCCCACAAAGAATACAGTGTTTCTGCAAGTTCCAGAATCATTAGTAATTAGTACAAGAGTAATCTGGTGGGAAAAGTAGCAGTTAAGAAGCCTATCATGTCACATGGCAAAAAAGGTTGAGATCTGTGAAAAAGTCACTGAAACTGGATTGATGAATAGAACAGTTCTTTGGACTGGTGAATAATGGTATTTTCTGTTTCTAGTGTTGGAGACAGAGTGAAAATTGAAAGAATTATGAAAAGAGAGAAAGGAGTACCATAACACCCTTTACTGATAAAGCCTTGCCAAATGGATTTTTATCAAACTGGCTATGGGCTTGAATGATCCAGTACATAGTGCTTTAATTAATAAAAGGTACTTGGGGGTAAAAAGAAGTTGGAATAGTAAATAACCCTTTCAAAGTCCATATCTATATCAATAAAATATTTGTGGTTATGAGCCCTTTTGGTTAAAGATAAGCCAATCACTTAGCAGTAGCTTTTATACAGAAATAAAGCTGTAAACCTAAAACAATTGGTGAGAGCTATGTCTAAACATTGGGAGGCAGTCATAAAGTACTGATCATTCAATACTAAAACATATTTTACAAACTTTAAACAATTGTTTATCTACAAAGGAGGATATATAATGTTTTTTTTAAATTACAGAAAACAGCTATCTTTTACTTAACTAACATATTGTACAAATATAATACTGCCTTAATAGACTTGTAATTAAAATAAATAATTTGTAAAACTTAAAATACATAAAAATTTACAATAATCTGGGTATGCCATAAAATAAATACTATGACATACTGTGGTAACTTATACATTAGAGGGAGTGAAAATTAGAGAATAAAATTAAATTCACACATCCATGGATGTAACACTTGCTTTATATCCAATACCTTTAAGTAAAGTATTATTCACACAAAAGTTTGGAATTTTACAGAAGCCACATTTCAAAGCTTTCCTTTTGTTTGTTTTTGTAATGTAAACTTGTGAATTATTATTTTATGAGAAGTATTTTCTAAAAATAAAAGGCTTTATTAACCCTTTCACCTGGAAAAGCAAAACACAAGTATAAACAATCCCTCGGCTGGAGCTATAGCTGGTAGATGATGCGAGGCACACATGCCACAGAAATATCAGCTGATTGTCATATTTTCTCTACTTTTTAACATCATTTCGATAAATCATTGATGCCATAATGGCAAGATATGCAATGTAAATGTGTCTTGTATATCATAACGAGTAAAACAGCAAAATATATTGCTAACTTATGATGTTTTTTTGATGGAAAAATGACACTGAAATCTAATTACACAGGGAAATGGGTAAATGCTATATAAAAAAATGTTATTGTTATATAGAAAGCGATGAGAAAACCTGTTAAGCCATTGACCATTTGGAGGGAAAATAATGTCTCTCGTAAAGTTTGAGAGTCCACAAATGAGATTTTTATGTCAAAAACAGTATATGATGCAAGTATATTGAATTTTTATAGATTTATCAGGAATAGAATGGTCTATTGACACAGGAAGTAACTGTAAATGTAAGTTGGTTATTTATGTTCTTTTTTGTACTTTATAAAGTTATATATTTGGAGAAACTGAAAATTTAAGAAAAAAAACTATAAGTTACACAAGTCCCATGCACATAATCTTGCTTTACAGTCCAATAACTATAGTGGTATATTTCATGCATATTTGATGAAACAATTTGGAAGCTTACTTTTGAAGCTTTCCCTTTCTTGCATTAAAAAATCCATCAAAATAATTATTTTATGAATTGTTATAAAATAGTTTAAAAATTTCTTGGTAAAAAGAGTATGCAAGGTGTCAAAAGTCATAAATACACATGTAGATGTAGCAGTATTCTTTAATTAAGATACATTATCATGTTATATATATTCCACTGCTTTTGAATTATTATTATTTTTTTAATTTTGTGCAATTTGTCAGTGGTAAAGCCATTTTTAAAACACTTGCTTTACACTTTAAATGTACTATGAAATTAGTTGCAACATATTCCTATTTAGTGGTAAAACCGTATATTAAGTTGACTCTTACCTCCTCTCAACTATATTTAATGTATAATATATATAATTTTTTTCTTATTGTTTTATAGTCTGAGCAGGGCTGAAGTAGTAGTGGTAAATGATGTAGTATAGAAATGTATGAAGATCAAACAAACTTAATAAATAAGTAGCACAGCATACTTACCTATTCTGATTGCCTAGTCTTTTACGTACACAAATTATTCTTTGAAGCAAACTTTATTTATTTTTACACCTCTATGTAAAAATTAACTTTAATATTTAAAAATTATTATCCGAGTCATGAGTCACATATTCTAACATTAAAACATCAAAGAAAGAAATGGGGAAAAGGCCTTATAAATAGCAACTCAAATTTGAATAAAAAACAAAAAAAGAAGCATGAAGAAATGGATACTTGTTATTTTTAAGCAGAATGGTACCTTTAGAACAGCTAAACAGAAGAAGGAACCAATCAGCAGTACCCATCACCTAAATGGCTACTAAGTTTAATAGCAGAACTCATTTGAAAATGTAAAGCATATTCATTGAACCCTTCAATCCACAGCTTAGAATACTAGCCACAAGTGTACCATGGCCTTGGAGAAAAGGGAACTACTTTTGAAGAAAAGAGGAATATAGAAAAGGGAACACAAACCTTGAAGAAAAGAGGAATAAAAAAAAAGAGAGAAGAAACTGGGAGTGTAAATACTTGAAGAAAAATGCAGAAAAGAGAAAATAATGAAAAAGGGGAATAGAAAAAAAGGAATTATTCACCTTGAATTTGTAATAATCAAGGCATAGATTAGAACAAAACTATAAAATACCCAAAATATTCTTATATGTAGTAATATAAATAAAACTGATGAAAATTTTTTAATATAACCACTACCATGTCTGTTGTATCTCAGATGGTTGAAGAGCCCTGGTATAAGGCAAAGGGCCTCATCAACACTGGATACAAATCTTATGGTGTGTTTCATATATTATTACGCACTTATCTTTACTTAATAACCCTTTTGCAACAGGTTCGTGGAGAATACACGAGTCTGTCTGGGGAAGGATACCGTAACTCTGACATTTCTTAACATACCTTCACAAAAACTGGTAGTATTTTGTAAACAAAGAATGAGATTATTTTAATTAAGTCTTTCCACTAAAAATATGTTATTTATCTATTGTAGTTGTATTTTAAAATAACCATTGGGAGATTATAATGTAAAATGATCTCTTTCTATTAGTTATAAATATGTGAATCAAATAAGTACACATGGCTTGTAAATCTCAAGTCTAAGTATAGAAGGTGGGTGTGGCACCCATCAGGGGTTGGCAAAATGTATTTCTTGTGTCCACTGAACTCAGCAAAATAACTTTGGAACATATGTATAAATAGTGCAGTAAATGTAGTTTTTGTCTAGACATACATGTACAGACACTGTGTAGTTGTCTGATTCAAGTTAGAGAATCCAACAATTCAGATTTGTGAATGCTTTTACATCATTTAAGAACAAAACTCAAGTTTAAGTATTTTTTAAAGGTTTCTTTTGAAATAAAGAAACTAAAACTTAAATAACATAAAACTTCAAATTATAACATACATTATAATGTTAATTTCGTTGATAGTAAAGTTATTTAATTAAATTTTGAATGTAACTCAGCAAATTATGCAGAAAGTAGTTCCGTTGCAAAAGGGTTAATAACTGGCTGTTTGTTTGTTTTGTTGAATTTCACACAAAGTTACTCAAGGGCTATCAGTACCAGCCATCTATGAAGTGAGAGACTAGATAGGAGGCAACTAGTCAACATCACTCACTGCCAACTCTTGGGCTGTTCTTTATGAACAAATAGTGGGATTGATTGTCCATTTATAATGCCTCCACAATCAAAAGGGTATGTTCGGTGACAAGTTTTGAACCCTTTAACCACACAATGGAAGTCGAGTTCCTTAACCACTAGGCTTTGCCAATGAAATGCTTATTATTTAACACGTTGATATTTTTTTTTCTAATTAAAAATTGTAAATCAACAGAATTGGCCTTAAAATGAGTTTTATATTTCAACTTTTAGAATTATTTAAGTTTTATATTCTGTTTTCAAAAGGACATATTTTAATAAACTATCAATCTTTACTTCTCATTGTCATACGATATGTCTTGCACTATGAATTCTCCTTTAAATATTTTCTTTCCTCTTATATGAATTTCAGTGTTCAACCAATTAGAAACACAGAGTATAGATAGTGGCAGATTAGACTATAAAATTTGAGCCTCCTACCTTCTCGTTTTACTGAGATATCAATAAATTTGTCAAACTCACCTGAGAGGCTCCTCCCATCTTATCATAACTTTAAGGTAATTGTTAAACCCTATCGACACGGGTCAAAGGACATGTCATCGCGTTTGTTGACTCGCATTCAAAATTCTATTGAACTACTATTTTATGAACGTATGTCAATAAGTTGGTATCAAATTGTAGATTATAATCCTAATTTTAGTATTATACATTAGTTAATTTCTTAATTTAAAAGTAAATAAAAAAACAACACCTAAATGTATGTTGAATGCAGCATTGATTCAAATTAGATGTTTGTGATGTCCAAATACAAAGTCTATAGTTTCTTACAAATTAGATACTCAAATTACCAATATTGATATGCTAGAATATAAAATAAGATTCCAGAGGTTGTACAAATGAAATTTGAAAAGCATATGATAAAAAAAGAAGCATTTTATTCCTGGCATGAAAATCACCTTTCACTCAGAATGACCCACTAAAGGCTTTGCAAATTCACAGATAAATCTTTTGATAAATACTATATTGAAAATTATATTTTTTTTTGCCAAATTTCATGAATATACCCTTAGTTCATTCAGAGTTATAGTATGAATAGTTTTCGATTACATGTTGGTTACAAGATCAGTCAATTTGACAAAGCCCATTTACACAGGGTTAACTCGTGAATTTTTTTTTTAACAAAGCTATACAATGGGCTATCTGTGTTCTGTCCATGATGGGGAATTAAACCCCAGATGTTAGCAATGTAAGTCTATAAACTTACCACTGACACACCAGGAGACAAACCAGTTAGACCTTTTTAAACACATAATCCTACAATAACACAATTAAGTGGCTATAATTTAAGTCCATTTCACATTCTTCAAAACTGTTTCACTGACACTAAGTTATGGTTTCTCAAATAGAAATTTTCAATAATCTTTACTCAGAAAACAGTTTATTTTTACTTACTTATTTTGAAGGTTTTCATTCTGTTGCTGAAGTTGTGCCAGTTCTTCCCTAAATGAATGCTCCGTAATGGTAAGACTATTTACTTGAGCTCTCAGCTCCTGTTCACATTGCCGGCTGGCTTGTAGGTCTGTCTTTAATCGTTTGACATCTGATTCTAGTCTATTATAAAAGGAATAAACATTTTTTTATACATTTACTCTAAAGCATGTATTTAAATAACTTGAATATATAATACAGATTGTGGTATATGTTTGAATATCACACCAGTGAATGTAAATGTAAGGTTACCGGAAGAATTTAGTAATAATGCTACAAATAAGTTATTTCAAAAATGACAAGTGATTAATGCTTTTATTGACAATATTTTGATGAAAGTATACAACATGAGAAAGAAATGTGCTCTAATATTAATGGATAAAGAGAGAGCAGGATAAGAATAGTTTCTGTAAAAATGTGACATTGAAAAAAAAGACCAGTTAAAGAGAAATTTTGTACCAAAACATTAGACAGTCAGCAGGGTCAGTGACTCATTGAAAGAGCTATGTGTATCCAATCAGTCCCATAAAATGTCAGTCTATGATCAAAGTATTTGCGTGATGGGTAGTCCATTCCACATAGAAAAAAAGATCTGAAGAGATTCTAACTGGCAAGGCAATGAAAGAGCTCCTTGGTATTTGACATACCAAAAGCACCAAAGTCATTATTACAAGTTTATGCCATTTCAGATGTAGAAGCTTCTAATTTGTGTTACAGAATGACCACTGAGGGGTAATACCAACAGCAGAAACTGTTTTGACACACTTAAGTTAAAAATCATAAAGAAGATAACTGAATCACTTGAAAGAATGACGAGGGATAAAAAAACAGTACTCTGTCATACTGCCGAGTGATTTTGCATGAATTAAATAATAATGAACCAGAAAGAACATAGCAACGTGGGTTAGAAAGATAAGAAATCAAGGTGGAAGAGAAGATAAAATAGGGTTGAAGACTCATGGTGAAACTCAAAAAAACAGAACAAAAGAAATCCTATTTTAGTGGCTCAACTCAAGAACACAAATACAAAGAACCATAAACAAGGTGACCCCTGTACACTAGAATAATCAATCAAACTCTAATATAATCACCCTTCTGAATGGTATGTTAAAAATAAAGTGGTATCTGTCTATCATTCGAACACTGTACCTAGATAAAGAACAAAGTGTCATGGGGGGGATGTAGTAGCTTCATAATTCACTGACTGAGAAATGGGAGAAGATCACTACGAGTAAGATCTGTAAAGTACATTCAGCTAACCTGGAAGAACTGAGGATATGTTCCTGGAAAAACATCTCAAAATGTGAGAATCCACAAAAGACATATCCAAAGAATGAAGAGAATGGGCAAGGAAAGAACTGACAATCTGAAACTAAAAATTCACCAGTGGTAATTACTCACGAATAGCCTGGTCAAAAAGAAAAATAGAAAAAATTTAAGAATCAGCTAGAACAAAAACTGAAGAAACATGTATGGTAGAATGAGAAATGAAAGCACACTAATGAAGAAACAGATTCATAAAAGACAAATTATTGTGCACAGAATTCTGAATATGAAGTCAGATTAACAATAATCAACTTTAACGATAGGAAACAAGGTTTAGTGTAACAGTCAAAATGTTGTAAAAAAGCAAACTCAACCTCCAAAAGATATATGAAGATACATTCTGGAGAAAAAGCATGCTTTGCTTCTTCTAAAAACATCAATAAATGAGTAATTGTGTTGTTAAAAGGCACAACAGTTAACCAATGTGATTCTCCATAAGAACCTGTCTATTACTACAATAAAAATATTAATCAGTTTGAATAATAATTAATATTAATACAATGAATATTATTTTCATTTCCTACAAGTTTTATATATTCTCATGGGAAGCTTGTTTCTATATTTTCTAGTATCATATGCAAGCTATACATCCACATGCAGTCATTTCCATTTTACATGATGTAAAATAATTGCTAAGATAACTTCTCAACATCATCTGTAGATTTTCACACTTTTCAACTAGAGGCACTCAGTAGAGTGCAGACTTCCACAAGGCAGTGTTGATCATATTCAATCCTCAAAAAATATGAAAATGTGTTCATATGTCCATCATTATCAATGAACATGGACCATTTTAGACAGGACAATGAGGAATAATATTTTACATATTTCCACTAAGTTTCATCAAAATCTGATAATTTTTGACTGTGTTATACAGCAAAAATAGTATGAAAAGTCAGTCCCAATGTTAACAGATGGGGTATTTTTTTTATTTTTGTGGCCTTATTGTGATCTTGGCTCTCCAAAAACTAATTATGTCTAAGCTGGGTCAGAGTCCAAATGTATACCAACTTTTGTCAAAATCCATTCAGCCGTTTTTGAGCAATTTTGCTAATAAACACACACAGGGATGAAAACATAACCTCCATCAGCTTCAGTGGCACAGTTACATGGAAGCCACAGCAGCTAAGTGCCTTTACCTAACGTTTGGTTCAAAATTGTATTAAGCTTCTACATAAAACTCACTTGTTCACACTTAGCTCTCCTGCTGGGATTTAATGCTTTTCACATAGTGAGAGTAGATGCTAATTAAAGGAGGTGTTATGAAGCTAATCAACTAGTGTTTCCAACTGTAACTGTTTGATCATTCCAACAATCCAGTAATTAAGCATAAAGTTACATATTGGGCTATCTGTGCTCTGCTCCCCACAGGTATCAAAACCCAATTTCTAGTGTTATAAGTTGTTTTAGTCAACTCGTGTAAGAACAATTTTGTGTTTTTTAGCAATCTCATGAGAATAATTGACTAATAAGCTCATGAACCCAATACTTGATTAGCAAATTTCTACTTATTGCCCAGCTCTAGTTGTAATACTTATAGAAACATTCAAAATTGTTTTCATCAAAAGCAAAAACAGAGCACCTAAGAAAAACAAATGATGAGATGGCACAGCTACGATGTCAAAAAGGAATTACAATACAAGATGATGGAAGTAAGCTTGTCTCATTCTAAACACATGCAAATACATAGCAGAAATAATGGATGGAGAAGCAGACTCATTCTGAATGAATGGGAGTTTAGAACAACATTAAGGTGTCAAAGAAAGTTACTTCTACAAATAAAGTTATTGTACTTAAAATGACTGATGCCAGTATAAGAACAAGCACATATTATCCTAATAACTGAGGTAGAAAAACATTTGAGCAATGTGAACAAATCTACAGCTCTTAACTTTGCTCCTCCTTGGTATATCTAACAACACATATTCTTTCATTTGCTTTTGCATTCTTTGCTAGAATGAACCCTATATAGCACATGGCCCTACCCGTACAGTAAAAACATTTCAAACTTACTCAAAAACCTACCAAGTTCAATACTATTTGGGCACCAAAGTGATAAATTTGAAAAAAAAAATTCCACAAACTAGTAAAGTAAAATACACCCTTTCTGGAGATTGTGAAGTGGATTCATAACCCTTCATTCAATACAGAATCAGTAAAACATTAATAGAAACTACTGTAATAATATCAACAACTGTCATTAACTTGTTCTTTTAACCTATTAACTGCAGCTGCTCTAAATGGGCATGGAATTTTTACACACTGTACAGCACACTTGCATTCAACTCCTGGAGGTGAATTGTACCTTATACAGCAAATCAGCAGTCAGTGGGTTAAAATTTATGAAATGCTTATTTTACTGCAGAGTTTATCAATTTTACGTAATAGTATAATTTATTCATGAAATCTAAAAACATAATAATGAAGTTAGTTGAGTTTGTAATAGGCATTAAAAGTAATTCTTCTTTTGTAAAATTAAATGGTAGTCACATTTCAGGTTCATACAAAGTCTCAAGTATACATGTATTGAATGACCATTAATTTTATTACATTTCACTCTGACAAGACAATGTATTGAAAACTGCAACACAGATGGATCAAAAAATGAGGTCAAACATGTAATAATATATAAAAACTTAGAATAAATTTGGTTTGTCATTTCATCTAATTCCAAATGAATCTTATCATTAGTTTGTACTTACAAATAACTTAACACGTATGTTACTTGAAATTAATAAAATACATATGCAACATAGAAAAATATGTTTATATTGTAGTTTAATAATGTGTAAGGTACATTGTATGGTTCTTTCTATCCTTTTTTTTTGTGTTTTTAGCTTTCTAACTATGCAACAAGAGGTGTTAAAACTTTATCTATGTTCCTTGATGTGTTTCCTGTGGGAATAAAGCTTCAACTGAAAGTGAAATTGACAATTCTCTTTACAGAAAACAATATATACATCATTTGATAGATTAAAACCTTGGCTTTCTATTGATTATAAATAAAATAGTCTGGAATGGCAGAGAGAACTATTGGCAATTTCTGAAAGAGAGAATGTGACAGGTGGGTATATTCATTGCCTGAGCAATGACGATATAATAATAAGTAATTTAGATTAAATTTAATACTTCTTGTAGGGTAGTCAATAAATTAAAGAAAAGGGAATACCTAGAGAGCAAATGTCACAATTCTCAAACTAGAAAAAATTATAGGTTTTTTTAATATTGCCTTTTAAATGTAAGAACTTAAATACTATTAAAATATGGATTATTAGCTAAATTTTTAAGCTATATTTGTTGGTATATCATGAAAAGAGAGTGGTTTAATTAAATGTTGAATGCAACTCACTAAAACCCTATGACATGCACAGAAACAATGCCTCAGGTGACAGATTCAACACTCATTCTGAGCTGAAGTATGCAAAATGAACACTGGGAATGAGAGAGACTGGATGATGTGGCATAAGAATAAATATTTACTTACAACTAAAAAGGTGAAGTAGATGCAGAGTGAATTTATTGATTTATGCCACTAGCACTAGGATTAGTATATATCATAAAATTCAACAAAGATAAAGTAAGGACAAGAAGACTATCTTGCTAGTTTTCCAGTTCTTGTGATTGAGGAGTAAAGTTAATTAAAAGTAAAAATACATAATGAAAAGTAATTGATGTTAAAATAAATAAATTAATAATGGGTTATTAATCCTAATTATGATTTGTAAATGAATTAAATAAAGTTGATAAAATTACACTTCACCATATTAATCTCATTCACACCATAAGATAGTGTTCATGCAATCTGATAATATAAATAGTATCTCAGCCACTACTATGCTTGTCTTATCCTAGCGAGACCAATGAACCCTGGTGTTGACCAAAATACCTTGTCAGCACCAGTGTGGTTGACATATTATTATACATTCTTCTTTACTTTTACACACAAGCCCTTGGAATTTATTTGTTCCCTTAATGGCAGATAACGCTAAAACAAATATTATCTTAAAAACCATTTTAACTCAGATTTTACATTTTTGGTAACCAATCAATGCAGACACGTGTACGTTGAACCGACCACTTCACATTCATACCACTAATACTGATACTTGAACAGAGTTTTTATTGCTGGACAAAGACTGGGATGCTGAAATTTTAAAAAAATTTCTGAAAACTCCACATGGCTCTAGAATAAAAAAAAAAGGCAAAGTTGGTGAATAAAATTTTGCAGACCTGTTCTAGAGATGCATAATGTTCAGAAAAAAAAAACATTTTCCATTTTTAATTCTCAAGAAGAGTAATAAGTGTGCATATCTTATGCAAAATGAGCAAACTATGTAAGAAAAGACTAGTTTTGTTTATTCTTTTCTTTTAGCTAAGAAACTACTGCTTTATTTGCCACACACAAATATATATATATATATATATATATATATATATACACTATACATACACACACACACACACATATATATATATATATATATATATATATTATTATAATAATAACTACACTAGAACGTAACTAATTAATAACGTAACTAAATAAACTAAACTAAACCGTAAACCCTTAACCTTAAACTAA